TGAGCAAGCTGTAGTCCATACAGTTGAGTTGACACAAAAACTGGCAGTCTGTGGCCACTTGAGTCAGAAACCAGACAGCTTGATCTCCTGAAGAACAACCAGACAGCATTATTTAAATATGCAAAGAGTACACAAAGACAGACAGACTGACATGTCAACAATAACACACAGAGAGACACACCTGCCAACAATACAAAAAAGACATAAACACATGCATAGACAGACGCACACGCCAGCAGTACCACACAGACACACACATGCCAACAATGCCACATGGATACACACATGCCAACAGTACCACACAGAAAGACACATATGCCAACAGTACCACAGGGATAGACACACACTTATGCCAGCAAGTCACACATGCCAAACAGTACTACAAGGTCAGACACACATGAGAGACACACATGCCAACAAAACCACAGGGAGAGGAGAGAGGCACATGCCAACAGTACCACAACAGACAGACACCACAGGTACCACAGGGACAGAAAAAATTCCAGCAATACCACAGAGAGAGAGAGGACACACATGCCAACAATACCACAACACAGAAAACACATGCACAATACACAAGGTCCACACATGCAAACAGTAACCACAGGGACAGACACACATGCCAACATTACCACAAGGTCAGAAAACACATGCCAACAATACCACAAGGTTCAGACACACATGCCAACAATACCACAAAGTCAGACACACATGCCAACAATACCACACAGAAAGAGACACATGTCAACAGTACCACAAGGTCAGCCACACGCCAACAGTACCACACAGAGAGATAGACACGTGCCAACAGTACAACAAGGTCAAGACAACTCAGGCCAACAGTACCACAGGGACAGACACAAATGCCAACAATACAGAAGGTCAGACACTCATGCCAACAGTACCACAGGGACAGACAACATGCCAACAATACCACAGGGTCAGACACACATGCCGACAATACTACACAGAGAGAAAGGGACACATGCCAAAAATACCACAAGGTCAGACACACATGCCAACAATACCACAAAGTCAGACACACATGCCAACAAATACCACACAGAGAGAGACACAGTGCCAAACAGTTACCACAAGGTCAAACACACATGGCCAATAGTATCACACAGATAGAGACACATGCCAACAGTACCACACAGACAGACACTTATGCCAGCAGTACCAAAAGGTCAGACACACATGCCAACAGTACCACTAGGTCANCTACAAGGTCAGACACACATGCCAATAATTCCACAGGGACAGACACACATGCCAACAAAACCACAGGGAGAGAGAGAGGCACATGCCAACAGTACCACAGGGACAGTCACACATGCCAACAGTACCACAGGGACAGAAAAACATTCCAGCAATACCACAGAGAGAGAGAGACACACATGCCAACAATACCACAAGGACAGAAACACATGCCAACAATACCACAAGGTCAGACATTCATGCAAACAGTACCACAGGGACAGACACACATGCCAACATTACCACAAGGTCAGAAACACATGCCAACAATACCACAAGGTCAGACACACATGCCAACAATACCACAAAGTCAGACACACATGCCAACAATACCACACAGAAAGAGACACATGTCAACAGTACCACAAGGTCAGACACACACGCCAACAGTACCACACAGAGAGAGACACGTGCCAACAGTACAACAAGGTCAGACACTCAGGCCAACAGTACCACAGGGACAGACACACATGCCAACAATACCACAAGGTCAGACACTCATGCCAACAGTACCACAGGGACAGACACACATGCCAACAATACCACAGGGTCAGACACACATGCCGACAATACTACACAGAGAGAAAGACACATGCCAAAAATACCACAAGGTCAGACACACATGCCAACAATACCACAAAGTCAGACACACATGCCAACAATACCACACAGAGAGAGACACGTGCCAACAGTACCACAAGGTCAAACACACATGCCAATAGTATCACACAGATAGAGACACATGCCAGCAGTACCACAAGGACAGACACTCATGCCAACAGTACCACAAGGACAGACACACATGCCAACAATACCACTAGGTCAGAACACATGCCAACAATACCACAAGGTCAGACACACATGCAAACAATACCACAATGTCAGACACACACGCCAACAATACCACAAGGTCAGACACACATGCCAACAATACCACACAGAGAGAAACACATGCCAAAAATACCACAAGGTCAAACACACATGCCAACAATACCACAACGTCAAACACACATGCTAATAATACCACACAGAGAGAGACACGTGCCAACAGTACCACAAGGTCAGACACTCATGCCAACAGTACCACAGGGACAGACACACATGCCAACAATACCACAAGGTCAGACACACATGCCAACAGTATCACACAGATAGAGACACATGCCAACAGTACCACAAGGACAGACACTCATGCCAACAGTACCACAAGGACAGACACACATGCCAACAATACCACAAAGTCAGACACACATGTCAACAATGCCACAGAGAGAGAGACACATGCCAACAGTATCACAAGGTCAGACACACATGCCAACAGTACCACACAGAGAGGGACACGTGCCAACAGTACCACAAGGACTGACACACACGCCAAGAGTACCACAAGGTCAGACACACACGCCAACAGTACAACAAGGTCAGACACACATGCCAACAGTACCACAAGGTCAGACACACATTTCAACAATACCACACAGAGAGAGACACGTGCCAACAGTACCACAAGGACAGACACACATGCCAACAGTACCACAAGGTCAGACACACATGCCAACAAAATTACAGGGAGAGACACATGCCAACAGTACCACAAGGACAGACACACATGCAAACAATAGCACACAGAGAGAGAGAGAGAGACATGCCAACAATACCACAGAGTGAGAGAGACACATGCCAACAATATCACAGGGACAGGCACGCATGCCAACAGTACCACAGGTACAGACACACATGCCAACAGTACCACACAGAGAGAGACACGTGCCAATAGTACCACAAGGTCAGACACTCATGCCAACAGTACCACAGGGACAGACACACATGCCAACAATACCACAAGGTCAGACACACATGCCAACAATATCACAGGGACAGACACATATGCCAACAATACCACAAGGTCAGACATTCATGCCAACAGTACCACAGGGACAGACACACATGCCAACAATACCACAAGGTCAGACACACATGCCAACAATACCACACAGAGAGAAACACATGCCAACAATACCACAAGGTCAGACACACATGCTAATAATACCACACAGAGAGAGAGACACGTGCCAACAGTACCACAAGGTCAGACACTCATGCCAACAGTACCACAGGGACAGACACACATGCCAACAATACCACAAGGTCAGACACACATGCCGACAGTACCACAAGGACAGACACTCATGCCAACAGTACCACAAGGACAGACACACATGCCAACAATACCACAAGGTCAGACACACATGTCAACAATACCACACAGAGAGGGACACGTGCCAACAGTACCACAAGGTCAGACACACATGCCAACAGTACCACAAGGTCAGACACACACGCCAAGAGTACCACAAGGTCAGACACACATGCCAACAGTACCACAAGGTCAGACACATGTGCCAACAGTACCACAAGGTCAGACACACATGCCAACGTACCACACAGAGAGAGACACGTGCCAACAGTACCACAAGGACAGACACACATGCCAACAGTACCACAAGGTCAGACACACATGCCAACAGTACCACACAGAGTGAGACACATGCCAACAGTACCACAAGGACAGACACACATGCCAACAGTACCACACAGAGAGAGACACATGCCAACAGTACCACAAAGACAGACACACATGCCAACAATACCACAGAGAGAGACACACATGCAAACAGTACCACAGGGACAGACACACATGCCAACAGTACCACAAGGTCAGACACACACGCCAACAGTACCACACAGAGAGACACATGCCAACAGTACTACAAGGACAGACACACGTGGCAACAGTACCACAAGGACAGACACACATGCCAACAATACCACAAGGACAGACACATATGGCAACAGTCCCACAAGGACAGACACACATGCCAACAATACTACACAGAGAGAGACACATGCCAACAATACCACACAGAGAGAGACACATGCCAACAGTACCACAAGGACAGACACACATGCCAAGAGTACCACAGGGACAGTCACACACTCCAAGAGTACCACAAGGTCTGACACACATGCCAACAGTACCACAGGGACAGACACAAATGCCAACAGTACCACAGGAACAGACACACATGCCAACAGTACAACAAGGTCAGACCTGCATGCTAACAGTACCACAGGGACAGACACAAGTGCCAACAGTACCACAGGAACAGACACAAGTGCTAACAGTACCACAGGGACAGACACAAATGCTAACAGTACCACAGGAACAGACACACATGCCAACAGTACAACAAGGTCAGACCTGCATGCCAACAGTACCACACAGAGAGAGACACATGCCAAAACTACCACAAGGACAGACACACATGCCAACAGTAACACAAGGACAGACACACATGCCAACAGTACCACACAGAGAGACACAAGCTAACAGTACTGCAAGAAAGTCACACATGCCAACCGTACCACAAGGACATACACACATGTTAAACTTCTGAGGTCTTAAACTACCACAGATTTAACTCTTCAAGTCCCAAGGAACGCACCATACGTTCATACTTTACTGCCTTGAAGCCCAATGAACGCATGATACGCCGATTTTAGTCTCTCTTGACTACCCCTTGGGCCTGTGATGCTAAACCCTCTGGGACTCAAAGAGTTAACCTACTACAGATATAACCTTCCACAGATATAACTTACCACACATGTAACCTACCACACATGTAACCTTCCACACATGTAACCTACCGCAAATGTAACCTACTACACATAAAACATACCAAAGTTCAGTTCCTCATTGAGAAAGTTCTTGTCCTTGAGAACTGTGATCTCCTGAGAGCCTGGGTCCACTGGCTGAAATGAAGATGACAGTGAATTTTAATATATTAGTTCACACAAGATGTTAGCTGACTTTACAGGACAGTATACCATACAAGTAGTTTAAGCAAGAAAGTATGATATTTTTAATGTTAGTTTCCTACAGATCAGCTTCACGCTTCAACTGCTAGTTTGTGCAGGACAGCCTCATGTTTTAGATGTGTTTTTTAAAAGAAAATATTGTATTTAGATGTAAGTTTATAAAAGACAGTATCACATTTTTTATGTTAGTTTTTTTAAGATTGCATCACATTTTAGATGTAAGCTTTTACAAGAGAGTATCAAATTTTGGATGTTACTTTATACAGGAGAATATAACATTAAGATGCTAGTTTTTACAGAGGAATAACACATTTAAGAACTTAATTTACACAGGAGAATATCACATTTTAGATGTTAGTTTATACAGGAGAATATCACATTTTAGATTTTATTTTATACTGGAGAATATAACATTTTAGATGTTAGTTTATACTGGAGAATATCACATTTTAGATGTTAGTTTATACAGGAGAATATCACATTTTAGATGTTTATAAGGAGAATATCAGATTTTAGATGTTAGTTTATACAGAAGAATTTCGCATTTTAGATGTTAGTTTATACAGGAGACTATCACATTTTAGATGTTAGTTTATACTGGTGAATATCATATTTAAGATGTTAGTTTATACAGGAGACTATCACATTTTAGATGTTAGTTAATACAGGAGGATATCATATTTTAGATGTTAGTGTATACAGAAGAATATCATATTTACGATGTTAGTTTATACAGGAGACTATCATATTTTAGATGTTGGTTTGTACAGGAGAATATCATATTTTAGATGTTAGTTTGTACAGGAGAATATCATATTTTAAATGTTAGTTTATATAGGAGAATATCACATTTTAGATGTTAGTTTATTCTGGAGAATATCACATTTTAGATGTTAGTTTATACAGAAGAATATCACATTTTAAATGTTAGTTCACACAGGAGACTATTGCATTTTGATGTTAGTTTAAACAGGCAAGTACCACATTTTAGATGTCAGTTTATAGAAGCAAGTATCGCATTTGAGAAGTGTGACAAACAACCTCAGTGATTTCAGAATACAGCTGGCTTAATAATTTATTTCTACAATAAAGAAACACTGACTGAAATAAAGATGACAGTGATTTTAAAAAATAAAAGTTTACATAAGATGTTATCTGACTTTACAGGACAGTAAACCATACTAGTAGTTTATACAGGAAAGTTAGATATTTTTTGTTATTGTGATGGGGGATGATTCCCTGGGAATTGTGAATTGACAAATGTCAGTTAAATGAGTGATAGCATAATAAATAAATATTTCAAATGTTATCCTATTATACTAAATTGTTTGTCAGTTCCAAGTGTAATCGTTTGTACATGTTTTTGAAAAAAAACACCTGTTAGATATAATTACATTTGGTAGGGGTTCTTTAATAAATCTTTACCAGGAGGATGTTGTCGGCAGGGTCCCATGCCCTGTCTAACAATTCATTCATTAAAGTAATCTAGACATCTAAACCTCTAGAAAGTACCTAGAGAGCTTGAGAAATGCCATCCTGGTCTCAAATTTGATGAAAGAAAAATCCCCCAAACTGCCATCTAAATGGTGAAGGGTGGGAAACACACCAACCACGGTTTGGCAAATGCAGATATGGGGACCAAGTATCCACCGGAATAAGTGGATCACTCGGCAGCTCGGCAGAGAAGGGCGTCCACCTATCAGTAAGAAATTACTGTCAAAGGTGCAGGTTAAAATACCCCATGTGGATGTGGAAGACAGCGGGAAACCACCACATTATATTCAAAAGATATCTCATGAAGAAACACAGACTGAATCACATGAATATGGTAATGGAGGTCTAAGGACAGCCTAGTATGGTTGGGACAGTCATGAGTCACAGGGGACACCAGATCATCATCAGGTTACTGATGGCAACTTTAAAAAAAGTTATGAATATTAAAAGTGTTAAACTAGCAACGTGGAATGTGAGAACACTGGCAGAAATGGGAAAAATAGAAAATGTTATAAAAGAAATGGACTGTATGAAGATACATATCCTAGGAATAGGTGAAATGGGATAGAAGGGTGCTGGACAGAGCAGAAAAGATAAGTAAACAATAATATACTCAGGAAGTTAAAAACATTAAAAGAGGGTAGGGATACTTTTTGACAAGGAAACAGCAAAAGCAAGTTGTGGGTTACTGGAGTATATCAGATAATTATTATGTTTAAAATCAAAGGCAAACCAATAAATATAAACATAATACAAATGTATGCTCCAACATCAGTTAGCAGTGAAGACGAAATAGAAACATTTTATGAAGATTTAGAATTGGCAATAGCCCAAACAAAATCACAAAAAAATTTAAATAATATTGGGAGATTTTAATGCAAAAGATGGGAAAGAAAGAACGGAAGACATAGGTGGGGAATATGGATTGGGATCAAGAAAAGAAAACGGTGAAACACTGGAGGGGGGGCGAAAATAAATTATAAGATGATTGGAAACAGCTGGTTTAAACAACATAAGAGATGAATATACACATGGAAAAGTCAAGAAAAGAAAATATTTAATCAAATTCATTATTTACTAAAAAAAAAAAGGGTTTATAAATGCACTAACAAATGTAATGACAAGACCTAGGGCTTACTGTAACAGTGACAACATCCTAATTTTTGGAAAATTATATGTATGACTGAAGTGTGAAAGAAAGAGGTGAAAAACTATAGACTAAACAAAGATATTCTAAGAGATAAAAGCTAAAAAAAAAAATGGAGTAAAAAAATAAACAGCTAGAACGAGGAAATCAATTGAAAGAGAAATAGCTGGAAGAAGAAAGAACACTGAAAGAGACAAATTTACAAATGAATAGAGAAAAGATAGCAGCAACAGTTCAAACTGAAAGACAGAGGGTCTGATAAAAGCCTAAGAAAGGCAAATGATTCCAAAAAGAGAAGCAGCTATTTAGAAAGAGAGAATGAAAGTAGAAGAAAACAAATTCAAAAAGTATAAGGTATTGTTAGAAATTTTGCATAGAAAGATAACATTGGCTCATGGGTTTCTAATTTCTTACTGCAAATGTATTTTCATGACATTTCAAAAGATCTCTGGGAAATTATCTTTTGGAAGCACTTAGCATTTGAACCTTCCAAAATTTTAGAAACTGTCCTTGGACATCTGAGACTAGTTTTCGACTATGTTAACCCTACCAGACCGCTGGCCCAATTTTCCAGGATTTTCTCAACCTGACGCTATACCCCTGGCCCTAATTTTTGGCTATCTGCATAGTACATGAAAAAGATGCATCACAGACTAAAAATAACTAGCCAATCGTCATTAGACCTCGTGGATAGTCTTCCTAGATGTCTGCCTGCCTGTGTTTGAATAAAATTTGTTGTTTTACGTGAAAAATGTTTGAAAATTCACAATAAAATGAGCGGCTGATGAACCAAGCACTTTGACAGGAAAGTGAAGTACGTCTAGGTTTTTCACAGTCCAACAGGTGATCGATACTTTGGTTTATTCAGACTTTGCGGAGTTATTATTTCATGAAGGATACGTTCACAGTTGAAGAGACACACTCAGCTTGAATAATGACGAGAATCTTGAAAATTATAAATCTAGAAATAGATCGATAGTAAGAGAAGGGGGCATGTCCCTCGGACAGCAACATCTGGTGCTCACTTTGTGAAACAATTCTGATCCTCCTGAGTGGATTGGCACACAAAGGTGGAATATTGGTGCTAGATAAAAGATAAGCCTATTTTCTACAGTGTCTCCAAGTTTCATCTTTTTCTAGCCACTTGTTTGCATGTAACACAACTAGATCTACATGTAACAAACTGGAGCAAACACTCAAATAGATCTACATGTAACAAACTGAAGCAAACACACAACTAAATCTACACATAACAAACTGGAGCAAACACACAACTAGACCTACTTGTAACAAACTGAAACAAAGTCACAACTAGACCTACATGTAACAAACTGAAGCAAACACATAACTAGATCTACATGTAACAAACTAGAGCAAACACATAACTAGATCTACATGTAACAAACTGGGGCAAACAGACAACTAGATCTACATGTAACAAACTGGAGCAAACACACAACGAGATCTACATGTAACAAACTGGAGCAAACACAAAAATTAAAGAGCAGAACCTGCTGAAACCTTCCTGCTGTGCAACCTTTGATGTCAAACCTACTCTCTATCCTGTCTGCAGGGTAAAATATACTCTGCATGGCCAGGAAATACTTCTTAGGCTTCCCTTTGAGCTTGATTGTGTAGCATCCAACAAACTTCACCAGCAAAGAGTGAGGGTAGTCAATAAAGTGCTGCAAGTACCTCCTAGTGACAGAAACAAACAATTTCAACACTAACAGACAATTGTAAACATGATCTGATGTTGTCTGCAGAAATAAACTGTAAAGGAGATTATAAACTTACAGCAATCAATGTAGAACAGACATTATTGAGTAGCCTTGCTTAGAAACTTACAGCAATCAATGTAGAACAAACATTATTGAGTAGCCTTGCTTATAAACTTACAGAAGTCAATGTAGAACAGACATTATTGAGTAGCCTTGCTTTGAAACTTACAGCAATCAATGTAGAACATACATTATTGAGTAGCCTTCCTTTGAAACTTACAGCAGTCAATGTAGAACAGACATTATTAAGTAGCCTTGCTTATAAACTTACAGCAGTCAAATTAGAACAGACATTATTGAGTAGCCTTGCTTATAAACTTACAGCAGTCAAATTAGAACAGACATTATTGAGTAGCCTTGCTTTGAAACTTACAGCAGTCAATGTAGAACAGATATTATTGAGTAGCCTTGCTTTGAAACTTACAGCAATCAACGTAGAACAAACATTATTGAGTAGCCTGATGACTTGTTTGCTTTAAAATGGGAACTAAATTTTAAGAAAAGATTATTTATCACATCAAAGATAACATGAAATCATCTGATCACGACTGTCTGTGTGACTAGTGGATAGCACAGGGTAAGTCTGACCCATAATATTTCAAGACAAATGCATTGACTGTACTGTTTTAGGTTTACTGCCCATCCACATTATCTTTAGCTGGTCCCTGATGGGTACTGCCAGTAGTGTGTTGGCTGTTATGCGGCTGCTGTGAGGCTACTAGTGGTTGTAGTATGGCTATTGTAAGGCTGCTTTGAGGCTGCTGTTTGGCTGTTGTGGGGCTGCTGTATGGCTGTTGTGAGGCTGCATGTGGCTGTTGTTATGCAGCTTGTGGCAGTTATATGGCTGTTGTGTGGCCTCTGTGATTTTGGTTGTGGCTTGTGTATGCTACTGTGAGTCTGAAATGAGGCTGCTTGTAGCTGTTGTAATGCTACTTGTACATGTTGTTATGCTACTTGTAGCTGTTGTAATGATACTTGTAGCTGTTGTAATGCTACTTGAAGCTGTTGTAATGCTACTTGTAGCTGTTGTAATGCTACTTGTAGCTGTTGTAATGCTACTTGTAGCTGTTGTAATGCTACTTGTAGCTGTTGTAATGCTGCTTGTAGCTGTTGTAATGATACTTGTAGCTGTTGTAATGCTACTTGTAGCTGTTGTAATGCTACTTGTAGCTGTTGTAATGCTACTTGTAGCTGTTGTAATGCTACTTGTAGCTGTTGTAATGCTGCTTGTAGCTGTTGTAATGCTGCTTGTAGCTGTTGTAATGCTACTTGTAGCTGTTGTAATGCTACTCTGTTGTATGGCTGTTCTAAGGCTGGCTGTGGCTATTACATGGCTGTTGTAAGGCTGGTTGTGAGGCTGCTTATGACTATTGTATGGCTGTTACATGGTTGTGGTGTGGCTGCTTGTGAGACTGTTTTGTGGCTGTTGCATGGATGTTGTGAGACTGCTTGTGGCTATTGTATGGATACTGTAAGGTTAACTGGGGCTGTTGTATGACTGCTGTGAGGCTGCTTGTGGCATGTTGAACAGCTGTTTTGAGGCTGCTGTGTGGCTGTTAAGCAGTTGTCATTGACAACCATACAAATGAAACTTCTGTTATAACAAGTGTATATGTAATGATTACATCACTAATAAGACTGGAGGCAGAGGCAGTGATTGCAGTTGCTTTGTAACTTCATACAGAGATTGTGACAACTGTGTCTTGTTCTCAGCTAGACATCAAAAGCCAAATCAGTGGCTGCAGTCTTGCTCTTCAGCTACCAGGCCAGGAGCAAATGTTACTGGTCAGAACTCTCCAAACTTTTCATTCCTTTCAAACTGCCATGGAGTGGCTTTGCTAATCCCATTTTTTTGTTTAAATATGGCCAACCATTGTAGATAATTTCAAATTATTTGTTCTGTTTTTTTGTGTGTGTGTGGGGGGGGGGGGGGGGGGGGGTTTTTACTGTTGTAGCTTATGTTAATTTTAGATAGCAAACCATTGTCTTCTTCTGCCTTTCTATTCCCCAATGGAGTATTGGCCCTCAACCAACTCATGCCAAGTCGTTCTATCCTTCGCCATTGCATGGAGCTCTCCCTATGTCCTTCCCATCTTTCTAACTTCATTCTCCAGCTCTCTTCTCCATGTGTTTTTTGGCCTTCCTTTATTCCTATGCCCCTGTGGTTTCCAATGCAAAGAGATTCGAGTTATGCTGTTCTCCTGTTTTCTCAGAGTGTGTCCTATCCAACGCCAGTGTCGTTTCCTCACCTCTTGGTCCACTGGAGCCTGTTTAGTTCTCTCCCAAAGTTCTACATGAGTTATTCTATTATACCATTTAACTCCCTCTATTCTGCCAGGCACCAGTTAATGAATGTCTGTAATTTATTAGTGACTGTCTTAGTTGTTCTCCATGTTTTCCGCCCCATACAATGGTACTGATTTGACATTAGAATTAAAAATTTAAAAATTCAAACGATTGTAGCAAAAATAATTTATTGCTGTTGCCAACTGTTGAAGCCAATACCATTTTTACTTGTCAGCTGTTATAGCTAATAATTCATTGTAAAAGAGTGACAATAAGTCACCACAGAAGTATGATAAGTCAGTATAGAAGAGTGACAGCAAGTCAGTGCAGAAGTGTGACAATATGTCAGTGTAGAAGTGTGACAATATGTCAGTGTAGAAGTGTGACAATATGTCAGTGTAGAAGTGTGATAATAACTCATTGGAGAAGTGTGACAATATGTCAGTGTAAAAGTGTGACAACAAGTAAAGGTGTGACAATATGTCAGTGTAGAAATGTGACAATATGTCAGTGTAGAAGTGTGATAATATGTCATTGTAGAAGTGTGATAATATGTCAGTGTAGAAGTGTGACAATATGTCAGTTTAGAAGTGTCACAATATGTCAGTGTAGAAATGTGACAATATGTCAGTGTAGAAGTGTGATAATAACTCAGTGTAAAAGTGTGACAATATGTCAGTGTAAAAGTGTGACAATAAGTAAAAGTGTGACAATATGTCAGTGTAGAAGTGTGACAATATGTAAAAGTGTGACAATATGTCAGTGTAGAAGTGTGACAATATGTAAAAGTGTGACAATATGTCAGTGCAGAAGTGTGACAATAAGTCAGTGCAGAAGTGTGACAATATATCAGTGCAGAAGTGTGACAATGTGTCAGTGCAGAAGTGTGACAATATGTCAGTGTAGAAGTGTGACAATACGTCAGTGCAGAAGTGTGACAATATGTCAGTGTAGAAGTGTGACAATACGTCAGTGCAGAAGTGTGACAATACGTCAGTGTAGATGTGTGACAATATGTAGAAATGTGACAATTTGTAGAAGTGTGACAATATGTAGAAGTATGACAATATGTCAGTGTAGAAGTGTGACAATATGTAGAAGTGTGACAATATGTCAGTGTAGAAGTGTGACAATATGTCAGTGTAGAAGTGTGACAATATGTCAGTGTAGAAGTGTGACAATATGTCAGTGTAGAAGTGTGACAATATGTCAGTGTAGAGGTGTGACAATATGTCAGTGTAGAAGTGTGACAATAAGTCAGTGTAGAAGTGTGACAATATATCAGTGCAAAAGTGTGACAATGTGTCAGTGCAGAAGTGAGACAATATGTCTGTGTAGAAGTGTGACAATATGTCAGTGTAGAAGTGTGACAAGTGTGACAGTGTAGAAGTGTCAGTGTAGAAGTGTGACAATATGTCAGTGTAGAAGTGTGACAATGTGTCAGTGTAGAAGTGTGACAATATGTCAGTGTAGAAGTGTGACAATATGTCAGTGTAGAAGTGTGACAATATGTCAGTGTAGAAGTGTGACAATATGTAGAAGTGTGACAATATGTCAGTGTAGAAGTGTGACAATATGTCAGTGTAGAAGTGTGAAAATATGTCAGTGTAGAAGTGTGACAATATTTCAGTGTAGAGGTGTGACAATATGTCAGTGTAGAAGTGTGACAATATGTCAGTGTAGAAGTGTGACAATATATCAGTGTAGAAGTGTGACAATGTGTCAGCGCAGAAGTGTGACAATGTGTCAGTGCAGAAGTGTGACAATGTGTCAGTGTAGAAGTGTGACAATATATCAGTGCAGAAGTGTGACAATGTGTCAGTGTAGAAGTGTGACAATGTGTCAGTGCAGAAGTGTGACAATATATCAGTGCAGAAGTGTGACAATGTGTCAGTGCAGAAGTGTGACAATATGTCAGTGTAGAAGTGTGACAATATGTCAGTGTAGAAGTGTGACAATGTGTCAGTGTAGAAGTGTGACAATGTGTCAGTGTAGAAGTGTGACATTATGTCAGTGTAGAAGTGTGACAATATGTAGAAGTGTGACAATATGTCAGTGTAGAAGTGTGACAATATGTCAGTGTAGAAGTGTGACAATGTGTCAGTGCAGAAGTGTAAAATGGGTCAGTGCAGAAGTGTGACAATGTGTTAGTGTAAAAGTGTGATAATTTATCAGTGCAGAAGTATGACAATGTGTCAGTGCAGAAGTGTGACAATATATAAGTGCAGAAGTGTGACAATGTGTCAGTGAAGAAGTGTGACAATATATCAGTGCAGAAGTGTGACAATGTGTCAGTGCAGAAGTGTAACAATGTGTCATTGTAGAGGTGAGACAATATGTCAGTGTAGAAGTGTGACAATATGTCAGTGTAGGAGTGTGACAATATGTCAGTGTAGAAGTGTGACAATATGTAGAAGTGTGACAATATGTAGAAGTGTGACAATGTGTCAGTGTAGAAGTATGACAATATTTAGAAGTGTGACAATATGTAGAAGTGTGACAATATGTAGAAGTGTGACAATATGTTAGTTTAGAAGTGGGACAATATGCCAATGTAGAAGTGTGACAATATGTTAGTTTAGAAGTGTGACAAAAAGTCAGTGTAGAAGTGTGACAATATGTTAGTTTAGAAGTGGGACAATATGCCAATGTAGAAGTGGGACAATATGCCAATGTAGAAGTGTGACAATATGTCAATGTAGAAGTGTGACAATATGTCAGTGTAGAAGTGGGACAATATGTCAGTGTAGAAGTGGGGCAATATGCCAATGTAGAAGTGGGACAATATGCCAATGTAGAAGTGGGAAAATATGCCAATGTAGAAGTGGGACAATAAGCCAATGTAGAAGTGTGACAATATGTCAGTGTAGAAGTGGGACAATATGTCAGTGTAGAAGTGGGACAATATGCCAATGTAGAAGTGGGACAATATGCCAATGTAGAAGTGGGACAATATGCCAATGTAGAAGTGGGACAATATGTCAGTGTAGAAGTGGGACAATAAGTTAGTGTAGAAGTGGGACAATATTTCAGTGTAGAGGTGTGACAATATGTCAGTGTAGAAGTGTGACAATATGTCAGTGTAGAAGTGGGACAATATGTCAGTGTAGAAGTGGGACAATATTTCAGTGTAGAAGTGTGACAATATGTCAGTGTAGAAGTGGGACAATATGTCAGTGTAGATGTGTGACAATATGCCAATGTAGAAGTGTGACAATATGTCAGTGTAGAAGTGGGACAATATTTCAGTGTAGAAGTGTGACAATATGTCAGTGTAGAAGTGGGACAATATTTCAGTGTAGAAGTGTGACAATATGTCAGTGTAGAAGTGTGACAATATGTCAGTGTAGAAGTGGGACAATATTTCAGTGTAGAGGTGTGACAATATTTCAGTGTAGAAGTGTGACAATATGTCAGTGTAGAAGTGGGACAGTAAGTTAGTGCAGACTTACGGTAGAATTGATAGAAAGAATTGGATATCTCTTTTTCTGTTTGACTTGAATATATACTGCATGTCATGACTGTAAATGAATAAATAAAAAAAGAAAACAGTAATCATACAGACATGTATCTGTCACAGTTAAAACATATAAACCTAAACATGAATGAATCTGTAAAACCTTTACTGTGTCTACACACCTAACATACATAATATAATCACAAAAAGACAAAATGACATAATCACAGACAGAGACATGTGTCACTAAATGACATAACCACACAGAGAGACATGTGTCACTAAATGATATAATCACACACAAAGACATTTGTCACTAAATGATATAATCACATGGAGAAACAGGTGTCACTTAATGATATAATCCCACACACAGAGACATGAGTTACTAAATGATATAATCACACAGAAAGAGAGACATGTGTCACAAAATGATATAATCTCACAGAAAGAGAGACATGTGTCACTAAATGATCACACACAAAGAGACATAAGTTACTTCTTCTTCTTCTTCTTCTCTTCCATTTTGTACCTCATCGAAGTGTCAGGGGGAGATGTCATGATCGTTGATGAGCTCTGTCAAGAGCACTATTAAGACTGATGTTCATTTCTGTAAGGGTGTTCTTAATGCCATCACTCCATCTTTTCCGAGGTCTTCCACTCGCTCTATACCTGTTGTAATGTTTTAGTGTGGCTCGCTGTGACATATGTCACTAACTGATATAATCACACAGAAGGAGAGACACGTGTCACTAACTGATATAATCACACAGAAAGAGAGACATGTGTCACTAAATGATATAATCATACACATAGAGACTCATGTCACTAAATGATATAATTACACACACAGAGACATATGTCACTAAATGATGTAATCACACATAGCGGCGCCCATGGCTAAGGCGTTGCAAGTCCGACTCGTAATCCAACGTACCGCGATCGAAACCCACTGCTGGCTGCATGGATTTTTATCGTGGTATGAGACGTCGCAGGTCGACCCAGCCTCAAATGGGTACCAGGATGGCTGTCCTGGGGAAGTAGAGACGGCCGGCGTAATGCTGACCACATTACCCACAGAGTGCCGATTGGTCTGTAAAAATATGGGATGCTCTGCCCATATGCCCGATGCGCCGAAAGGAGTGAAAAGGATTCTTAATGATGTAATCACACACAGAGAGACATGTGTTACTAAATGATATAATCACACAGAAAGAGAGACATGTGTCACTAAATGATATAATCACAGAGACATTTGTCACTAAATGACACAATCAAACACACAAAGATGTGTGTCACTAAATAATATAATCACACAGAAAGAGAGACATGTGTCACTAAATGATATTATCACACAGAGAGACATGTGTCACTAAATGGTATATAATCACACAGAAAAAGAGACATTTGTCACTAAATGATATAGTCAGACAGAAAGAGAGACATGTGTCTCTCAGGCAGATCACTACCTATTGGAAATCTGCCGTTACTGCTTCTACATCCATTCTCATTCTGACATTATTCATGAGGTTTTCTTGTTTTTAAACATTTTCTATTCTCCTTTGTAATGTAAAACAGTTTTGTTTCATGGCCAGTATTCTGTCATCACTGCTGGGGTGTAGGTGCAGCTGTTTAGTGGGCATATCCTCCTTTTTCTTGTTCAGTTACAATTTGGAAATCCTTTGTCTCCATCAGCATAATTAGTAGGTCATTTCCATATTCAAAAATTAAATGTTATGATATGTACACCCCCCCCCCCCCCCCCCCCCACCCCCTGACTCCTCAAACTGATGGTCAAATAAATCTTAAGTCTACAAATTCATGCTTTTTAATTTGTTTTCATTTCATTTGTGCTTAGTCTCTTTCAACAATTACTCAAACAAAAACTTTGCATAAAAGAACAAATTTAAATTTCTTCTCTACTACTCAAAGTGATTAAGAAAGCTGATTCAATTTAATAACTCATTTCTATTCTAGCTAGGGGTCTTCAAGATTACTCTATAGAGTATCCCCCCAAGTCCCTCTGGACCCTCCTAGCACAAGCTAAGTCTCTAGCCTACTAAGCTTAGCCAAGCCTAGCCTGCCGTCTCTGCTTTGAGTGGTCAAACCCCTGGCTTTTATGGGCACCCATAGCTCACTTCCAGAATCTTCTAGCTAGGTGTTGTGCACACAGTTATTGCATCCCCAAAACACAAGATCATCTTCAAATTGGAAAATGTTGTCAACAGGGTGCTTTCATGTACTAGAAGGCAAGGTCATATTATATTTCTAACATAATCTCTGGAAGTTTCTAGAAGCCAAAGCCAAGGTCACCATTGACAAGCAAGCCTTTCAGCGCTGCGCTGTTTTAGTATCACTGAATTTTGTGGAAAGCTTCTAGAAATAAAGATGGCAGCTGCGATGAGCTGCTTGATCTCTGGTGCATTTAATTATGTGCAACTGGCGCAGTGTCCCTGTTACAGCGTCCATGTTACAGTGTCCCTGTTACAGTGTCCCTGTTACAGTGTCTCTTTTACAGTGTCCCTGTTACAGTGTCCCTGTTACAGTGTCCCTGTTACAGTGTCCCTGTTACAGTGTCCCTGTTACAAATGAAACCACATGCACTTTCATTTTTACACAGATCAATTTGTGTATATAATGATATCACCTGGGCATATATTTTAGCTGATTAGTTTAAAGTAGTAAACACAGATGTGCTAACACTGATGGTGATAGTGTTGTACCTTAGAAAGAAGTCTTGGCCACTCTTTGAGTTGCTCCTGAATTCCAAATATGGTTTACTGCTGCAGGCCACAGTGTCGAAATAGTTGTGTTCATCCAATCCCACAGCCTGACGAAGAGCTGCAAACACTGACCCAGCATAACTTTCAAATTCAAAGTCCTGGCAAACAATAGGCATAGTCAACAATAGGTCAGTGTTGGCATTCCTGGCAAACAATAGGCATAGTCAACAATAGGTCAGTGTTGACATTCCAGGCAAACAATAGACACAGTCATCAATAGGTCAGTGTTGGCATTCCTGGCAAACAATAGGCACCGTCAACAATAGGTCAGTGTTGGCATTCCTGGCAAACAATAGGCATAGTCAACAATAGGTCAGTGTTGACATTCCTGGCAAACAATAGTCATAGTCAACAACAGGTCAGTGTTGACATTCTTGTCAAACAATAGGCATAGTCAACAGTAGGTCAGTGTTGACATTCCTGGCATACATAAGGCGTAGCAAACAATTAAGTCAGTGTTTCAGGAAAACCAGTTACTATTGTTTTACCCACATAAATCAAAGCAACAAGAAATCAGAAAATAACAATGCTTCTAAATGTGGGAATACAACTAAAATCATCAGACTGTTGATTTCTGGCATCTCATGAGCTGTCTGGTGTATCATGAACTGTCTGGTCTGATGTATCATGAACTGTCTGTTCTGATGTATCATGAACTGTCTGGTGTATCATGAACTGTCTGGTCTAAAGTATCATGAACTGTCTGGTCTAGTGTATCATGAACTGTCTGGTCTGGTGCATCATGAACTGTGTAGTATATCATAATATGTCTGATTACCATGAACTGTCTGGTATATCATGAAATGTGTGGTATATCATGAACTGGTGTATCATGAACTGTCTGGTCTGGTGTATCATGAACTATCTGGTCTGATATAGTGTGAACTGTCTGATCTGTGTATCATGAGCTGTTTGGTCTGGTTTATCATTAGCTCTGTGGTATATCATGAACTGTCTGGTCAGATTTATCATGAACTGTGTGGTATATCATAAACTGTCTGATGTTTCATGAACTGTCTGGTCTGGTGTATCATGAACTGTCTGCTCTGGTGTATCATAAATTTTCTGATGCACAATGAACTTCTGGTATATCAAGAGCTGTCAGGTCTGGTGTATCATGAACTGTCTGGTCTGGTGTATCATGAACTGTCTGCTCTGGTGTATCATAAATTGTCTGGTGTATCACAAACTGTCTGGTGTATCATAAACTGTCTGGTCCGGTGTATCATGGACTGTGTGGTATATCATGAACTGTCTGATGTATCACGAACTGTCTGATGCATCACGAACTGTCTGATGCATCACGAACTGTCTGATGCATCACAAACTGTCTGATAAGTTTATGGAGATAACTGTTTATCCTGTGCACAGATTTGCAGGTGGTATTCACAATTCAAAAGTGGTGTAGAAATGATTACCTATGCAACTAGACCTGGAGACCGTTTCTGTTTGTAATGATGAACTTATTACAAAAGTCAGAGAACGGATACAAGAAGATCATTGTTTAACTGTGAGGATGATGGCAGATGAATTTAGTGATAATAGAGAGACCATTTGTAAAATGTTAGTGGAAGATTTGGGTAAGAAAAAAGTTGCTTCCTGGTTTGTACCACATTCCTTGTCTGATGGCTAAAAACATCAGCGTGTTGAGTATGCAAAAGACATCATCAAAATGTGTCAGAGAAATAAAGATGTCCTAAATTTGATTGTTGCAGAGGATGAAACATGGATTTTCCGCTATGATCCCACAACTAAACACCAAAGTGCTAAGTGGAAGTCATCATCACCAAAAGGCAAACAAAATCATCTTCAAAAGTCGAAAGTGAAGACAATGTTGGTTTGCGACAGCGGCGACATGATGCTCAATGGTCATGTAACGGGTAATCTCCGTTCGCCCTCGAGAGGGCCGCTGGCACGTTGGTGTGTTGTGGTTTACAGCTAGGCTGTGATATCTGACCTAAACTCTTCAGTCGTCAGTAGTAAAGTTGTAAGTATGTCATCCTTCACTCGGGTGACCGGTGTTCGATTCCCTGCTAAGTGATAATTGTTCTTTTCCCCCCTAAAAGGGTGGTTGCCGCGTTTTGTTGTGGTTTACAGCTAGGCTGCGATATCTGCGCCTTTCACCCAAAGACATCTGATTTCAGTTAAGTCCTAATTAGCCTCCCCACGACGCTTCTCAATCAAAAACTATTCCGCGATGACAGAAACTGTTAACTAAGACGGCTTACAGTCCGGTTTAGTTTGGATGGACACGGATGCCAAGGTCAGTTAAAAATCGTTCCCTCAGAGAGGGAGAGATGACGGGTGCGGGGTATTTTTCTCCCCTATTCATGAGTATAGTGTACTTTTCACTGTGGGTTCCACCACTGGTTACGTGATGAAGTTTTTTTCCTATGTCCGGGGCAAAATCAAACCAAATAGTCCATGGCGACAGCATGCGGCACTAAGTCCTCTTTTCTACACCAACCTACACAGACTGTAGCGACAGTTTTTGTTGTTGTTGTGATGGTGGTTGTGGTTGCAGTAGTACTGATACTGCATGGGTGATGTGTAGCTGTTACACTGGCTATATTTACATCTCTGTACAAGTTAATGCTCCCTATTTAAGTCTGGATAGACACGGATGCAAAGCTCAATTTAGTTACAATATTTTGTTACACGGTGACTTCCCCATCCTTCGGAGAAGATTATATGATTGAGGGAGGGGAGGGGGGTGTTTAACCCAGACACTGTTAGCTGAGAGAGCTTAAAAAATTATTTTAATGGTCTCATTTTTTAAATATTTCTATTTTAATAATTTCGCCAGGTAATGATTTTTCAATCCTACGGAGAGGGAAATATGATTGGTGGAAAGGGGGGGAGGGGGGTTATGCCAAACACAGCTGAGAGAGCTTAAAATATTATTTTAAAGTTCTTATTTCTTAAGTATTTTTATTTTAATAATTTCGCATGGAAGATTTTTCAATCCTTCAGAGAGGGAAATATGACTTCGTCGAGGGGAGAGGAGGGGGTATGACAGACACTGTTAGCTGAGTGCTATTTTCTTTCCTCTCCATTTCACCAATCTGGGCCACAGCAACGCCTGGCCGGGTACAGGTAGTATAAGAATAATTTTTGAAAAATGTAAAGAATACAACGTAGATCTTCATGCTTGTTTCATTGATTATAGCAAGGCATTTTATTGTTTCCAACATCAGAAACTGTGGACTATTATGAGAAGTATGGGGGTTCCAGCGAATTTGGTGCATTTAATTGAAAATCTTTATCAAGAACAACAAGCAGCCATCAGAGCAGCTAGTGAAACATCAGATTGGTTCGAAGTGCAAATTGGAGTGAGGCAGGGGTGCATTCTCTCACCATACCTATTCAATATATGCGCAGAAAATATAATAAGAAATGTCAAAAATGACCTGGCTTGTGACAGTTATTATCTGCTCAAAATTGGTGGCAACCCCATTACAGAACTTCGTTACGCAGATATCCTCCTTTTGAACAGCGTAAAGGGAATAGAACATTTAATATTGTCTGTCCAAAAGCACAGTGAAGGACAAAATCTGTTGTTGAATTTAAAGAAAATGAAAATAATGTCCACAGATAAAACTGGCTGTCACCCAAAAATAATACAGGTGAAGAAATTGAAAATGCCACAAACTTTGAATATCTAGGCTCTATAATAAATAGCAATGGAAACTGTTTAACAGAAATTAAAAGGAGGATGCCATAGCAATGAAAATATTAAACAGCCTAAAAATTTTATGGTTAAGCACTAACAAGGAGATAAAAATTAGGAATTTTGAGAGCATGCTTCTTCCCTGTAGCAACATACAGATGTGAGGTGGACTTTTGAGCAGAAATGCTATAGAAAGATTCTCGGAATATCTTGGACGAAAAAGAGAAGAAATACTAACATCTTGAAAGATCTGAACATCAAGGAAGATTGGCTAATAAACAGTATTCTGTCTTGGAAGCTAAAATATTTTGGTCATATCAAGCACCACGACAGATTGGAAAAATTATAGCAGAAGGCATGGTACCAGGAAGGAGGGACAGGGGCCGACCAACACGAAGATGGGCACAGGATATAAGTGACTTCTTGAGTACGACAGTGCATGAGGCGGGAGAGCTGGGGAGAGACCGAGTTTCTTTCAGGCAGACTGTGATGAGAGCGACGTTCTGCAACAGACCTGCTACATGATGATGATGATACTGGTATGGTGCTTGCACATTGTCAAATCAGCCTTCTTGTAGTTCCAGCTTGACAGAGTACTAGTTTCTCTGATTGTCTCATTTTTTACAGTCAGGAAGATTCCTAGTCACTGCCTCCTAGTCGTTTTCCAACAGCTTGTGTAATGTTAATTTCAGATCTGGAAAATGAAATGCTTGGTCTGGAGTAGTGATATACCATGATCCTGTGTAGAAGGTGGGTGAACAGTTGGCTTTTTAATCAGAACAAGTCTGTTTTCGTCCTGCCATTTCTCCAGTTTCCCTCCTCTTTGGTCTATGTGGTCATACCCCAAGCTTTGTGAGTGGCTGTTAAAGTCTCCACACAGAATCAACTTTACCTCTATGGGGATTGAGTCTAAAGCCTGAGGATGATCACTTGGGCAGTAATAACTGATCAGGTGAAAATCTGAATTTCCTGTTTGTAGTTGATAATCTGATATTCTGCTCCATCCATATATACTTAAGGCTTGCACGCAGTGATACTGTTCCTTACTAGAGTCAGTATTCCACCCTTTTTTCTGTCTTCCGGTCTAATCGGAAGCACTGATAACCTCTGATTTTGAAACTGCATCTTGAGTGAGATAGGTTTCTTGCAGACATTGTAAGATAGGTTTCTTGTAGACATTGTAAGATAGGTTTCTTGTAGACATTGTATATGTATCTATTCGTCATTTTAAAATGTTTCCTTACTCTAGCTTTTTATTTGTAACCCTCTGCACATGCCAGTGCATTAATCTGACTCTTTTCTTTGGCCAGATTCGCTATTCTCATCCTTCCCCCCCTGGCTTATAGGACACCTGAGGACGACCTCCAGTCATTTGGGTTGGGCGACTTAGAGAACCTGGGACCGCTTCTGCTGGGAGTCCATCACAAGGCAAGCACCATGATGTTTTGCTTATTTGGACATATTTCCACAGCCTGTGTGCATGGCATCCTGACTGCTGTGGTGCGGCTCCTAGCTGGTTGCATCCTAACTCAGCACCTTGTTTTGCTAGGATAGACTGTGATCATACTCAAGGAGCCATCTGGTTTTACGGCACAAGATACTCGCCGTCACCCCTTCTCCTGTTGGTTTAAACGGTTCTGCCACAAGAGGGCCAGGAGTTAGACTTTTGCTGTCACAGGTTACAAATGTTTTAGAGGTATTTGGTGAGGGCTCATCACAAACCGTCATCCCCCAGCTAGGAGGGCAATTTGAAACCAGTAACATATCTGTATATTCAACAGCAAATCTCTGTATATTCAGTAACAACATGCTGTGTGTTGAGCAGCAAATCTCTGTATATTCAGTAACAACATGCTGTGTGTTGAGCAGCAAATCTCTGCATGTTCAATAATAAATCTCTGGATAATCAATAATGTGATGACAGGCCTGATGACTTCTGAACCCATTTTTCCCCAAAGTAATTTTTTACAATGTATATTTAGTTATAGAGAAAAACTGCCCCTGGGGTGTAACCAAAATCTAGGTTGACCAGAACAAAGCTATTTAATTTCCCTAGA